CGCCCGGCCCACTCCGCTTCTCGCGGGCCGCCCTGCCCTCCGCTCGGCCGGGACGGGCCAGCCCCGCCGCGGACACGGCTTTCCCCGCCTTGCAAACGCGGACCGGCAGCCTCGGTTTGGGTGAATTCACAGTTTCCCGGGGAGGGGAAGTCCGCTTCCATCAGCCCTGCCGCCCTATGGTTTAAAGACAAAGTAAATATTGAACCCTCATTCTCGTAGGCATGTATTTTTTTAAAAAAAATCCTCAGTTACTATTTTAGGGATAGAACTGGGAAGACAAAGCAAGGATCCTACAAAAAACTTTTAAGATAACAAGCCAGAAGGCAACGAGACTACGTCCTGAGAATCAGGCTCTGCGTCCTCTCCCCAGGGAGGGAACGGAGACGGGCTCTGCACAAGCCCGCCTCCCTGGAGGAGGGTGGCTGGCCACAGCTTTCTGTGAAGAGGGCGGGGTGACAAGGCCGTGCGGGAGAATGTACTGAAGATGTCGTCTTCTTTTTATTCTTTAAATGTTCCCCCTCATTCTGTCACCCAGGCTAGAGTGTAAGTGGTATGGTCACGGCTCACCACAGCCTCGACCTCCTGGGTTCAGGCGATCCTCCTGCCTCAGCCTCCCAAGCAGCCGGGACTCCAGGCATGCACCCCCACACCTGGCTCATTTGTTCAAAAATTGTGCGTAAAGACAAGATCTCCCTGTGTTGCCCAGCCTGGTGGAACATGATCACACCGTGGAAGCAATCCTCTTCCCCAGATATTTCACTACAAATGTATTTTTATTTCCTTAATCAATAAAAAGTTTTAAGAGCGTAAGATTCAGGCCTCTGTCACCTGAATTCAGTCCAAGCCCATATCCCTCCCTAAATGCTCAAATATCTCAGAGTGCTTAACGTCGCCTGGCCAATGTTCCTGAGTGCGGTGCTTCGGGGCCAGTGTTCTGGCCTGTCAGACACGTCACAGGCAACATCTGACCACCTGGCTCCCATCTCCGAAGCTCACCGAAGGCTTGCTCCATTTCCACGCATGCTGGCTCTCAAGTTGTCTTTCTCCTGCTCCTGGAGGGGTTTACCACTTCCTCCCCTGCAAACATGGAAGAGTTCAGTTTTAGAAGCGGGGAGAGGATGGGCAGCTTTGATTAGACCCCAGTGGCTATTGTGGCCGCTTCTTTCAGTCAGAGGTTCTGAGAGGGCTCCCTTCTACTCCCCACAAGGAAACGGCTCTCTGATGAACCAGCGTGTTCTGTAGCAGGGAGGTGCTCATTCCACCTTCAGATGGGCCACGAAGCTCCAGTGCTCTGCCTGGGGACGCTGTATCAGTTCTCGAGCCAACAGCCAAGTTCTTTTCCCCTTGTTTGTTTATTCGACAGTACTTGTGGCCTGAGAGTCGCTTGGGCTG